AGGCATCATAGACAGAAAGGATAGAAGCTAAGTCTGATGCTTCGTGTGCTGTTGTTTTCCTCACAGCTCATTTGTTTCCAATGATGACATATAGTCACCTCCAGGACCGGCTGTCTGTATAGTTTCCTTGGGATCTAGACATTAGTTGCTGAGATTCTTTCACTGATAGCTGGAATTCACTTCAATATTTTATGTACAGATATTATACTAAATACATGCATTCATTTTCATGGCTGACTTAGGTTTCTCTATGTCACCTTCTTAAGTGTTTAGCAGTTGTATGTGTATGTATCTTCGTTATATGTGTTAACATGGTTATGATAATGAACTATCATAACCTGGGGGCTTTCTTTAGTAAGTAGTGGGGGTGTCCAGCCAAGTGTGCCTAGAAATATTGTATTTATATACTGATATATTTTGTAGTGCCAATACTTGAGTTGCCCTACTCCAGAGATAAGTTGAGCGTATATTGGCCACGGGGAATCCCTTAGACCAATACGAGCCAAACGACTCAACATAATTATCTCTGAGTGCTGTTGGTTCTGAAGGAGGAATCCTTACATTAGGCACGCGACAGGAGTGATATGTGACAGAGTGTCATCAAGAATTATTGTTATATGACATTTTCTCTGGAGTTTTAGAAGACGCTGTAAGCGGAGAATAAGAAGAACAATTGTTTGCCTCTGGACCTTGCTTCGAATCAACTTAAAATGGGTAGTGTGAAATGTCTTGATAAGTAAAGGCAGCTGGCAGGCATTGCCGACAGCATTCATTCCTTCTCTTTTGATCTATTTTAACATGCGACTAACATCATATGACGGATGTCTCAGTGGGGTGAAAGAAGTCATGTACTTGTAAACACACTTTAATATGCACATGGTTGAATTAAGAACTAAATGGTACCGACAAAAATGTCATAAAGGTCTGAAAGAACGAAGATTCTATTGTCCGGACAGCAGAAATAAGTTCTGAGGGGGACATCACCGTCATCACGTGGAAGGTCCTTTACAGAACCTGGTTCTTGTCACGGCACACTTGAAAGTCTCATGTAATTGAGCAAATTCTCCAGCCATATGCCCGTTCATAAGCAATGTCTTGTATCCACGTTCACTGAGGGCTGGCCATTTCTTTTAACATTTCAAAATGCTTCAGCTCTCCAGACAGGATGCTGTTTGTACGCCAGTGCTCTTTCCTAGATGCTTAGATCACATAGGATATTAGTGTTTCTCTTGCTCTTCTTCTATGGAAAATTATATATACATATATATATATATATATTATATATATATATATATAATAATATATATATATATATATATATATATATATATATATATATATATATATATATATATATATATATATATATGTAACATTTTAGTTCAAAGGCTCTGAGTCAGTGAACATCAGTCTACTTGAATCTTCCTGAATGAGAAAAAGCATCCAATATTGTAGGGGCATTGTAAAGAGGTATTTAAGGGCACATATATGTTCATGTGTAAAGCGACAACTAACCTGCTTTTCCAAAAAGACTCGAACCCTGTTACTATGAAGAGGCACTGATGCAGCAGAAACTCCGCCCCCGTCGTCGCACATTCTAACTCTGATAGTATAAGTAATGTCAAACGTCGATCCATTGTCAGAATCTTCGCTGTGAATTGTTGATGGAAGATCCGTTGGTAGCTTGACACTGCAACACCCACAGAAACAAGCAAAATACGTTTATTATCATATAGGTTAGTTGCGTATCCTTTACAGGACGTTGCAGAACCAGCCCCAGCAGCCCCTGGCTGTTGTGTGGTTTCTCTAGGCAAATTTACGTCCAGTAGCTTGCCATTGCTCTCTTGACGGTCGGTCCCCTGATACCACTCCGGCTCTCTAGCGAAGTTGGTTAAACCTGACTTTCGCGGCGGCCGGGTGACGAACTCCTTGTGGTCCGGGTTCACTCCCGGGGGTAGGCAGAAAAGCCACATTTCTCCCAGATTAACAGTACCTATAATGGAATCAATGCCGAAGGGTTGCGATATCCATAGTACCGAGCCAAAGGGTTTACAACTCATGGTTTCTGGATACGTAAAAAAAAAAAAAAAATACCACTGTCGAAACCAACACAAGGCGCATGGCCCGCAGCTGGGATCGAACCCGGCACCCCGGCATTACGAAGCGTTCTCATAATAATAGTTTGTCTTATTTCGAATCACACATTACCAGAGTGGGTTCTGGAGCTTCAATGAAGATAGAGGGGAGCGGGAGGCGCATTGCCCTTTAACAGCCACCGTCATGTAGGGGCTAGATAGAAATGTTGTCTGTTCAAATCGGAAAGGAGCCGGGCATTTAAAAAAAAAAAAAAGACTTTTGCAGCCTGGTGGACAAATGGGTACGAGGTAAAATTTTAGAAAGTGAAGGCGGTTTGCTTTATGTTGATCATATCACTCACCAAGGGCCGTTTGGTCTACAAAATATAGCTTGTTACTACATTCCCATTACGCCTTAAGGGGTGATATATATATATATATATATATATATATATATATATATATATATATATATATATATATATATATATATATATAAACATTGCGCTTGGAAAAAATGTCGTCAAACAACTGTAAACAGACATTTTAAAAAATTCACTACTGCCTATTTTACCACTTTTGAGGGCGGCCTAGACGAGGGATAGGGGTCGGGGCGGAGCTTGAGCCGGCGGTTTTAGAGCCGCATTGCTAGTGTTGTCGCCACAGACTATGCAGGTTATCATGTCTATTTTTGCCCCAGACAGAAAAACTCCACCACATTACTTGTAACCGCTCGGCCAGACGTTCCTCGTCAAGCAACTGATCTGCTAAAACCTGATGTTTTATGTTCATAGGAGCAGAAATATGGGGCCTCGCTATAAACCAAAAGAAAACTTTGTAATCGCCATTTTAATGACGAATGAAGAAAAAGAAGTATTGCAGAGACAGACACAAAAATGGCGTAAGAGTGCATGATTACTATGTAAAGTAAATTGTATACCCCATTGGGACATCACACAAGCGATAAACACTTGATGACACAAAGTACCACCATGTGGGTGAGAATCACCGTGGAGAAGTCAGGAAACCGCGTTCAGCCGATAGACCATATTTACGGCTGGGCTATATTGCGGCTCCTGGCAAGAACCAGAGTAGGGCTTCAAAATAAAGAAACATTGCATCTCACAGGGAGATTACTAGGTTATTACTTTGTGCCCTGCCGAGTGGGATCAGTTATAACCCTTTACTACATCGTCCGGTCTCCCAAATCGGTTAAAATGTTGACACTCATCTATGCAAAGATATGTCTTAAAGATATGTCTAAAGTCAGGAGCTGCGATAGCGCAGCCGATAGGAGGCTCGCTTTCAAATCCAGCTGTGACTCGCTGCAGCCACGGTCGGTGTTCGAAACCGGTCGGTTCCCTGGGTTCACCCAGCCTCTAGGAAATGGGTACCAGAGTTCACACTCTGGGGTATATGGAGGAACGTCGCTGTAGCTACAGAGGTACGTGCGAACGGCGACACAGGCGGACAGTTTCTTATCAACTGTCCGTACTGGTGGCAGAGCACTTATGGTTTATAACCGTGTGCAGTGACGCTGGTTCACATCTCCCGACTTTACCTTCACCTTTATATGTCTAAAGTAGTTCCAATATAATGAGTATTAACCATGAAATAATAATTTCTTATCGGTCCGCCAACAATGTCACCCTATTATTTACCCTATAGGAGTTAAACAATAAAATGTTATTTTAGCTGAAAATTTTCTCCCTTTTAGCTGTTTAAAAACAATGAACGCATAGTTAACTGTCCGATAGCAACATTCCTAACTTGAGGGGACAACCCGTACTCCTAAAATCTATCGAAGACCCAGATGTAAAAGAACTAACAACTGATTGGTTTAACACTTAGGTATTCTTTAGGGCAATTTCAACAAGCTCATTTATTATATTATAAATATTTTTAATACAGAAATTATGACACAGTTATGTTCATTTCTGCAGCTATGCTTTGTTTTTTTTTTTTTTTTTAAATAGATTATACCAGTCCACTGTTGTAAACAGGTTGAAGAAGGCAGTTTTACGGACAATGTTAAACCAGCAATAGTATACGTTTGCTGTTTTTGGTTTTACTAGGGAAATTAACGTTCAGTTGCAGTGTATCTCTGCTTTTGTAAGGCATTGATGCCTGTTTATATATTATCGAAATCGTCACAAAGCGGCCTGGTGTCAAATCGTCTGCAGCAAAATCGAACAAAATATATCAGGTTTATAGAAAATCATTTCAAGCAACAACCAAGGAACTCCAAACCACAGAGAATGAGCAACATAATGCTACCAAACAATTATTCCCGCGTTACTTTAAAAGAGGGTAACATATTGGGAGTGATCCCATATGTGAACAAGTATCGTTAAATCAGTCGTTCCCAGCTGTAAGAAGGATGAGAAGACAGAATGTGCTGGTTGTGAATGACACGACGTAAGCAACGGTCTAAACGATCAAGTATAATCAACCGTAGTAAGCATCAAGTCAGTGACGATTTACAAGCTCCAATGACACATTTCTCTTAGTGTATGTTATGTATGTATTTATGTATATATATATATATATATATATATATATATATATATATATATATATATATATATATATATATATATATATATAGGAGAAAAAGAAGAAGACGAAGGAAGAAGAAGACGATAATTTATAAATATCGCACTCTACAGTCCCTTAAAGCTCTAATTTTCACATCACAAGGCTGTGATTCTTCTTCTTCTTCTTCTTCTTCTTCTTCTTCTTCTTCTTCTTCTTCTTCTTCTTCTTCTTCTTCTTCTTCTTCTTCCTCTTCTTCTTCTTCTTCTTCTACTTCGTCTTCTTTTTCTTTTTTTTTCTTCTTATTCTTCTTCTTCTTCTTCTTATGCTTTTTTGTCTTCTTCTTCTTCTCCTCTTCCTGTCCTTTCCTTCTATTATATTTGCAACAATTATAATTAAAACAGTTATAATAATTATTATTATGGGTTAAATTATTTTTGTCAGTTGACCTTGCGTTGTGATTGGTTTGCAAGGAACCTGCTGTCTACTCCTTTTGCCCAACACATCTGATTTCACCAAATATGAATGAATCATCAGTAACTACATACTTAATCAAATGCAGTGTGTCTCTCAAGCCTCCCCCCCCCCACGCTCACCTTCACTGCCCCCAAAACCTAGGGTCGGAACCTGCATGGTATATTAGACAATAATAGATTATATGTAACAACTTCAATCTATCCTTACCGAAACTGTGAAGTATAACGGCCTGGAGTCAGCATAGAACTGTGCCACGCTTCCCAAGTACCAATAATACATTTCTCTTTGTGTACGTACGTCTCTCGCACCGAATGGGGAAACTCCGATTTTCCTATAGCCAGCCTTCCTTGCCCAGTGACAATCATCTCCACGAATCGAATCTCCACATTTTTGCGGATCACAATGGTGACTTTGCCAGTTATATCTTCTCCAGGTCTGTACTGATAACTGGACACTCTGTCCGTCTCAATATCAAAGAATGATATACAACTCTTTTTCTGTGATCCTTGCCGGTGTCTGGGTAGGTCATCCAAGCCTACCAGATACCCACGTGAAATAGTTCCTAGTGGATAGGCACCTCTTGCATAGGCTGAACTTCGGCCTAATGTTTGTGATTGTTTGGACCCACCGTTAACATTGATTCTTCTGGAAGCCGTACCGTTTGTGACAACCTGTCTAATTGTTGCGTAATTGTTTCTTTTAGATTCAAACAGGTTGTTGTGTTTAGTTAAAGTACTGGAAAAGTGTTGATCGCTTCTTGTGTGGCCATTAACCAAGGTTTTAACCATCTGGTCGTCATTTAAACTGTCGATTGGGATTGTATAGGGATCAGAAATCCTGAAGGCGGAATTGTCAATGCCAAGGTGACTGTGTTTGGGTCCCCCGTTCTGCGCCCTTAAGGTTCCCTGACGAGGATTGGTGGCGCCTTGGCTGGCCATAATTTGGTGATGTATATTAAAAGTGTTTCAAGAACTCGGCTGCATTAACCTTGGCTATCATTTGTCGTAAGTTCTGAAAATACAGGCAAAATTATACAAATAGAATTATAAATATGAAGTCCACAGTGCGTTCAGAAAGTAAATTGACACCTAACTTTTTTCTTGTTTGAAAAGTAACAAAACAACCACTATCTTCAGGTTTGGAAAAAAAAAAATACCGTATCATCGCATAAAACATATAGAACATAATTTTAAATATGCATAACATTAACACACCCATTATCATAAAAACAAATGTATATATAGTACATCTTCTCAATATGATAAATATTAACGTGCCTCTGATCAACACAAACCAGATACAGTAGTGGTATATTTCTAGATAAATAATGACAAATAAAATCAACAATCTGAACGTCTTGATAAAATACCTGTTGCGATTCTGCTGACTACTGCTTGCAATGTACAAGCTACAGGTTGGTCATAGATAAGGATTCTCTTTTACAGGACACAACAGAACAGAACGAGACATTATTTGACCTTTTCTTCACGAGAGGTTGGGCAAACCGACATTGCTATAGAAATCAGACAAGAGTGGTAAACTGTGGGCTACGCCACTTGTAAGAACAATGGTTCTCAACCTTCCTAACGCCGTGAACCCTTAATTCGGTTCTTCGTGTTGTAGCGACCCTCAGCCATACATTTATTTTCGTTGCTACTTCAAAAATACAGTGAATATGTGTTTCCCGATGGTTTTAAGCGACCAATGGAAAAGAGTCGTTCGACCCAAAAATGGGTCGAACACATAGGTTAAGAGCCCCTGTGTTATAGGTTTCAATATTAAAAATTAAACAGTCAACGCCTTGTCTCGACACCTTGACAGACTATCTAGGCCAATGGTTCTCAGTTTGGGACCTATAGTTACTGCAATATTGAAATACCACACTGTGAACTATTCAACTGAGACCGTCTATCGCAGGGTTTTGAGTTTCAGTGGTTTAACCAGAGCAGATTTGGCTGTCTTAAAGGCAATTTCTCTCTCTCTCTCTTACACACACACGCACACACATACGCACACAGCACACATGCACACACACATACACACACACATACACACACACACGCACACAGCACACATAGAGTACTTGGCATGAATGTCCTTCATTTGGAGTGCTGAAATTGCTGTTAGATGTTGATTTGTAACATATTTCTCATTGAAATTTACTCATTCAATTATTTTGCACAGTAAGTTTATTCTTCTTCATCTTCTTCTTCACTTCCTCTTTTACCGCTGTGGGTGTCGAGGGAGATATAAGGTTCTGTTTCTAGCTCTTCTGGCTGCCTCGACCATAGGCACATCGTGCTGTTGTAGAGTTTCTCTGATGTTATCCTTCCATCTTGTTCTTGGTCTACCCCGTGCTCTACGTCCTTCTTCTCTTTCCATGTATGCTTTGTATGGTAGTAAGTTTATTGCGTCTTTAAATATCAGCACTTTGTCTAGCCATCTGTCTGTATAAGCTGGTTTAAAGAACGAAATTGGTGATTCTTTCTCTTGTCAAAACAATCACTGTAACCGGTACAACTTTCAAGATCCTGCGGCCATTTGCCAACATGTGTTTCACTAACCAGCATCTTCCTCGACAATTTCGTGTCCTTAACTTTCACTGTTCTTCTCAACTAACACTTTGACCAAACCCCAACTTGCAAATTTTTTCATACAAAAGTGTATTTGTCAAGTCCAACAGTTAGCTAGAATATCTGCAATGACCAGAGGCCATCTTGAAAACGTTATGTTTCACTTTTAACTCACTAGCTTTCACCAAGCAGGGATTTTAGGGTCTCAGCCATTTTGTTTTCTAAATCTCTTTTCAATATTATTCTTAGGTCATTGGCCACCTAAGGGCCACCTAAGGGCCACCTAACCACCTTTTATGTTTGTTTGTTCCACTGGGCTTGTCAATCCTCTAGCTTGACACATTGTTGCTCAGACATTTCAATAACATGCCTCTAACTGACCAGCTTGTCAATTTACGTCGTTCACTGATTCATTAACTGTGTTGTTTTTCTAACCACAGTTGATCAAATTGTTGCTCAACTTTGTTCACTAGCTGCTATCTTTTCAGCATGAGTAACGTAGAGCAACGTGTACAGGTTGAACAATTTTTACAATCAAAAGAACAATTTGCATAGATTAGTCAGCCCGCTTAACTTTTGACCCTCCCCCTTTTTTTTTCACTGTCGAGCCGAGTATCCGGTAGAACTTGAGCCAGGCTTGGAAATTAACAATGACTAGCCTACGTAAAAAAAACAACATGTGAAATGAGATGTCAGAGAAAAACCGCTAAATTAACCATCTGAGACAAAGCTAGAAATTATATTATCTGACAGACTGTAGGTACAATACCATGCAGCAAATTCATAGAGAAATAGAATATCAAATGGCTCGGTCATTTAGGTGAATGCAGCAGGAACAACTACGAACGCAGACGGTACACATGACAAGGTGTGAAGCGAAAGCAAGAGACCGCCTTCGGAGAAGATTATGACATTAAAAGCGCTGTTTCATAGACATGGAATAACAATAGCCATTGCTGCCCATCAGGCAATTGATCGCAACTTTTGCTCACCACATTGCTGAACGGCAGAATGTTGAATGTTAAATGTGTTGGCTCTTGTGTGATCTTTTTAATTTTAAATTGCTCGCAAAAGATTGTATTTAACATCAATAATAATAATTATTATTATACTTTAAACTGGGCTGGAAATAAGGATAATTTATGCAGTAGCGTAGTAATTGCTATTGCCTTCCAAAACAGGGCAAACACATTCCTGCATTTGTTGGCAGTATGCGGATTTACTGGAAGCACTACATTTTGTTATTTGCAATTGTGTTCTGGGCAATTCAACGCCTATCTGGCAGGTCTCCAAATGATGTGCTTTAATAGCCACTGCATCTTCAAAGTCTTGTACATCGGCCATTGGCTCGCCGGTAGTCAACCTCGTCGCTGGTGGGGACAATATTTGGCTCTGACAGGTTTGATCGCATCAGCACTGCAGGAGTGCTTTTCAGGGCTCTTAGTGACCTGCGATGATAACAGCCATTTTATGTGTCGCACATAGTCTAGTCACAATTATAATCTAATACTCCCACTTAAGGGATGCTGGTTGAACGTTTTTTTTTTTCAGCAAAGCTCCAACATAACTACAATGTCTTCTATCCACATTCACGAAGGTTGGCCTCTGAATCATTTTGCCAAAACTGCACGCTGTCAGAAAAATTCTTTGTCCGCATGAGGGGGGGGGGGGACAGAAGTTTTTCGTTATTTTGAAGCCCAACCCCGGCTGTTGGCGGGGACCCTTATATAACCTAACGGTTGGACGGGCTTTCTGTGGCCTCTCCAATGTTGATCCCCATCCGCATGGTGGCACTTTGCGTCACCAAGTGTTTGTCGCTTTGCGTGATGCCGCGGTGGGGTAAAACTTACTTATATCACTGCTCTCTACAGTCCAACGTGACACTTGACGTGGCAAACATACCTCAGCTTATGGCACAGGATGCTGTTGATAAGCCAATACTCTTGAATGAATCTTTGGAGTGTTGGTGTGTTCTCCTTCTTGGTCCACGGTATTCTAAGAAGCGTTATGTAGCATTTCAGATTTTTCTTTTTCGTTCAAAGATTGCGTGAAAGAGTATAACTCAACCTCACCTGCTAGGGGAACGAATCATGATCCTAAGATTGTAACTTTAATGCTCTTGCAGGTGTTTTTGCATGAGACCCAGCTACCTGTTGAATAACTCACACGTATGTATTCTTTGAGTTGATGATGTTATATTAACAAATCTCTCCTGAACGGCGAAAAATCTGCACTCACATTCAGTGATGTCACACGATTAGAAGGATGTTATTTCTATCCATCCAGTTATATAAAACAAAAGAAATAATCGATCATGTTCAACCTACTGCCAGCAGCATCGGTTACAATTGTAATCTGGTTTCTTTGTGCCAGTTATGTTGGCTAAGAAATGTTAATGGCAGTGGCTTGGAGCGGTACTCTAGTACCTAGTGAGGGTTGTTCGGGAGGGAGCTGCTTGTGTGGATATGTACAAATATGCGCATACACCCAGGCGGGAATTCATGCACACGTGCTTGCTTGCACAAATACATATGCATGAACATATACACTCAAGTCATACGCCGTCGTGCAGTGGGCAGATGCTCGCCTGTGGATCAGAAGGCCTTGGGTTTAGATCCTCACCTTGCCGGTCTAGTAGGCTTTTGGCTTGTATATGTGAAACCTTCTCACTATCCCTATTATAACGTGATAGTTAGGCAGACTTGGCCATTGTAGGTTGGTTGTCTGATCTAGTCAAGAAACTAGCCGAAAGGACAATGTCAGAGAAACTACAGTATCTGTGTCTGTGTGTCGATATCATCAAGTTTCTGTGTGTCGATATCATCAAGTTTCTGTGTGTCGATATTTTAAGTAAGTAAAACAGAAAAGGAAAGTAAGAGGACAAATATTCCTCGTTGCATTATTGTTAATGTAGTTCTGTCTACAGACTTACAGGAGAGATTATTTTCTGCATTTTATCATCAAGCGGAGCGTATACTTTCAACTAACACCAAACCATTTTAGACATGATAAAACTTGGTTGGTTTTTGCGACTGTCGATTGAAACAGGAGATAAGCCTTTTAATAGTCACCTCTTAAGACACGCTTGATAGTGTACAGTGTGAATTCCTAATACTTTCCACAATGAATCCAGTTAAAAAATCACGCAGGCGACAATGCATCTTAACCAATACATTAGCAACTGTAATGTACACAGGTACGATTTTATTTTCTTAAATAAACAAATCCCGCTCTGGGTGACATCTGATAAGTGAACAAAGAAACTTGTATTACAGCTACCGCTGTGAAAACTTAAAATACTTCTAAAGTCAATATTCATATTAGTATATTCAATAGCATAATCAATTGTATTTCATGTCTAGTCA